GAGAAACAGAAAAAGTAAAAAAAAAAAAAAAAAAAAAAAAAATCACAAACTTATTACGTATCTCCTCGAGAGGCTCAAGGCAGGTGATCAAGGAGTAACAAATCTTGGTGGATCAGTCCCAGGGACAACATGTGATATTTAGCAGTAGTAGTATTTAAGGACTCTCTAGTGACTCCTAAAGGCTCTTGCAGTGACCACTCAACAAGGCTCAGAGGACAAGAAGGGAAAAGAAATCCTCAAACCACACACATACGCAGACTGAGGCAGACCTCTCTCTCTCTGTCTGTCTGTCTCTCTCTCTGTCTCTCTCTCTCTCTCTGTCTCTCTCTCGCGCTCGCTCGCTCTCTCGCTGTGATTCACTCTGTACCACATGAACACACACTCTGGAGCTGACGTCCTGTGGAGCTGGAGCTTTTATCCTCCTGGGTTGATTAGAAGGAACCGCCTTCAGGTGTGGGTGCACCGCACCACCGCTCAGCGCACCTGTGAGACACACACACACACACACACACACACACACACAGTTATGGTAATACATAACCCTGGTAATACACATGGTTACATATTTTTGGGTATTTTGAAGAATACCTGAGATGACACGTTTATACTAAAAGTACGACATTATTCTCGTAAATTCATGACTTTTTTTTTCTCTTAAAATTACGACTTTTGTTCTCATAACGTTACAACGCCTTTTCTTAGAATGTTAGGGTTAGGTTAGGGACTTTCGACTTTATTCTTCTTACGTTTCAGCTTTAATGTTGTAATTTAATATAATAAAATAATCATACAATATAATAATTAAATAATTTAAAAAAAAGTCATTGTAGCCCTAATGGGGCACTCACACCAAACGTGATAAATACAGAAAGATAGTTTGATCATTTTTGGATCATCGCCTTGTTCTCGTGAACGTGAGTGTAAGGCGACCCTGTGATGGATGGGTGGCCTGTCTATCTGGTAAATCTAGTTTGAATCCAACTCTTTATTGTATTGAAAGTGAAGACCGATGGAAGTGGTTTCAGAGGCTGAGCTGATGACTTCATCCGTGAGCGTGCTAGGGAAGAGTGTATTTACATTAGGGAAAACGTTTATTTAAAGTTCCATCTTGTTATTTGACGTCTCTTGAAACACACTCGGGTCTCGGCGAGTTGTTCTACGTGGCTCTTGTTTGGCTTTGGATCTGCTGATGAGAAGAATCCTGGAATAGACTGTGCTATCAGATAATTAAAATGAAGGAAGAGCAGCGGGAGAAACCAGAGCTGCTTTCCTGTTCCACAGCGACAGTCACCACGTCTTAAAACTGTCCTGGTGGATTTACTGGACTCTGAAAGTCAGTTCCTAATCGTATCCCTTTGTTTGTACTTGGTGCAACGACTCTGATGGTGACGGCAGCTTTTCTGCAGATAATTCAGGCGCTCACTTTTTCCATTCACTCAGACACACACTTACACACACACACCCACACACAATAACACACACAGCTAGACAGTCGTTTGGTTTCACTGTGAATTAAGATATTTACGTACCTGCAGCCTTTCCTTATAAAGCAGGGAAATAAAACGTGTGAGTCCGCCACCTTATAAAGCAGGGAAATAAAACGTGTGTGAGTCCGCCACAAAAAAAATAATATTTACATTTTAGCAACATTTTAAAAATGGACCTAGTCTGTTTTTTTTTAAATAAATACACTTTTTGCAGGAGTATTTTTAAGGAGTAGGCAGCGTTATTTCAAAAACTCACTGGTCACACCATGAGACTACACACTCTCGTACACTAGGTGGCAGTATGCAGCAAAGACGTTGGTTGTGACCGGCGCGTGTTTTAGTGTTTCTGTAAAGAAAGAACATTTCCAGTTAATATTTTTTCATGATCTTTTGTTGTTTTTTATATATTGACAGTTAGCGAAGTAAATAAGACCAGAAGAGTTTTACTTTTAATAAGAAGAGATAAATGGTTATGTGCAGTATTTCTCTAAAGAAATGTGCATTTTACTTCCGTTATTTAAAATAACAATTTAACTTTATGAAGCATAATTATGTAATATCGGGAAGAATCGTTAATGTTTTTTTTCATCGATAATGAAAACTTGATAACGCAATGCCTGGGTTCTGCCCAGATGATGAGTTGAAAATAGCTTTAAAGTGAAAGTGAATTATTGTCACAGGGACGGCTGCATGTCTTGGTATCGGTTGATATCGGAATCAGAAATTAAGTGTTCGGACAATATAGGCATATCGCATTGGTAAAAGCTAATATCGGACATTGTATCGTTACAACCCTACCAGCCAATTCTAAAAACCCACGACCAACACCAGGATTGTTCTTCCGAATTGATCGTGGAGTTTGTGATTGGTGGTTGCTGGCTGTTCAAATGAGCTTCGTTCGATGAGGGTTGACATGTGCGTTTGCGTATTTGTGTGTTTTCGTAGGAAAGATCGTCATTGACGGCATCGACATCTGCAAGCTTCCCCTGCAGATGCTCCGGTCCCGCCTTTCCATCATCCTCCAGGACCCCGTGCTGTTCAGTGGATCCATAAGGTGACAGAAACCTCGGACAGGGGTCTCAGCTGTGGATGCGGTTTATGAGAATCACAGCGGGAACTCGGCTCTTTGTCCTCCTGACACACTCACACACTCCCGCCATCTTTGTGTTCCTTCTTAAAAGATACAGATCACGTGCTGTTTGTTTGGACAGAAGACCCCGCAGAATGATACGTCCATGTGTGGACGATCTGGGGCTTCTCGGTGTGTGCTTGTGTGAACGGTCAAGAGTGACTGTGTCACAATGTTTTCTTAGATGTTTGACTTGACCACACACACACACACACACACACACACACACACACAGACGTTAGCTTGTCCTTGAGTGTAACTATAAACATTGCACTCCAAGGTAGGCTAGGACTTTGGTGCCAGGTGTCCGTCTGGTGTCAGGAGTTACGCAGCCTCGTCTCGTAGAAAACCTTCATGACTAAAAACTGTCTCGTCCAAGGTTTAATCTGGACCCAGAGAGGACGTGCACCGATGATCGACTCTGGGAGGCGCTTGAGATCGCTCAGCTGAAGAACATGGTGAAGGCTTTGCCTGGTGGTTTAGGTAAATCGGAGTGTCATCAGCGTAACATGAAATCAAGTTTCATGTCGTTTAAATAAAAACCCTAATTTTTTTTTTATTTTATTTTTTTTCTGCGCGTCTCTCCAGACGGTGTGGTGACTGAAGGTGGCGAGAACTTCAGTGTTGGTCAGAGGCAGCTCTTCTGCTTGGCTCGAGCTTTTGTCAGGAAGAGCAGCATCCTAATCATGGACGAAGCGACGGCCTCGATAGATATGGCCACGGTGAGTATGTGTGTGTGGTTGTTGGTTTGGAGCAGTGGTTTTCTGTCATGCCCCCCCTTGGGGACATAATTGTTTTCACACCCCCAGGCCTGAGAACCTGATATCACGTATATTTTTATCTGTACAAACCACTGTAACCACTGAGTTGCTGCCCCCTAGTGACTGGAGGCTTGTTATCATTCAAGCATTACAGCAGTGGTAGACTTATATCCAGGGTGTCATATTCCATTGGAACCCCTTCACTCCCAGGCCTCCTGACACTTCACCGTGCCCCCAGGGGCCCCCGCCCCACTATTTGAGAAGTACTGGTTTAAAGAAACAACTTCCCAACAGAAGCGTCGTAACCAATTGCGAACTAACTCTGGACCTAAGAGTTTTCTTTACACTGTTACCTGGAGTATCACCTCAATACATGTACAAATACTACAGGTAACTTGTACTGCAACAGTCCTGTTACAGTATAGGTTTATATATTAAGGAATTCAAATACTTAACATAGTGAAAATTGTTAAAAACAAAAACAAAAAAAGGAAAACGTTCGCATGTACGTTGTATGAAACAAAGAGGTTTCAATTCTTGGGAGCTGAAGAAGCCTCTCGGATGTGAGATTTTGTCTAGAAACCAAATCAGTTCCGTTACGTTTTTTGCTTCGGAGTTAAAGGAGACGGGGAAAATCTGAAGGAAGTTTTCAGAACAAACTCATCAGTTGTTGCTCAGGTCACGTTTCGCTGCTCTAACATGTACTATCTGGTTTCCTTCGCAGGAAAACATTTTACAGAAAGTGGTAATGACAGCGTTCGCAGACAGAACAGTTGTCACCATCGCAGTAAGTCTGATCGATTCTCCTGTGGCTTTGACAGACTTTTCTATTTCCTGTATCTTTTCACCTAACATTCCCATAAGTTCTGGTAAAAGGGAAAATCAGGGATTTCAGTTTTCTGTAACTTCTTGTTATTCCTCCAAATTTAAGTTCTTCTTCTACAAACCTTCCGACTCTTCTCTCTTTGTACTGTGTCTGTTCGTTCTTGTTTTCTTTTTCCCATCTGTCCTGCCTTTAACGAAAGCCATCATTTACTACTGTGACGTTCAGGTTTTTTAGTCTGTTGCAGTTGATTGGTCAGACCAAGCATGGGCAAACTAAGGCACAGGGGCCAGATGCGGCCCGTTCAACTTAACCCTAATCCGTCTCACCATACTTGTTCAAATTATATAATTGGTTTGTATTGTGATTATACTTCTGCCTTTTCCCTGCAATGCACACATTTCCCTATAGATGGCGTAGTGAAGGCTTTATGCATGACTTTAACATGTTAGGTTCACACGAATGCTCCGTCTATCTGCCCCCCTGTCAAATTTTAGGACCAATTGTGGCCGTAAGTCAAAAGGTTTGCCCACGCCTGGGTTAGAGGTAGAGCTGACAGTGCCACCTAGAGGATACAAGTAGGCAACGGAAGTTAATGAAGGCTCAAACAAACAAGAAAGAGTCGTCACCAGGGACGAATCACTGTATGTAATTCAAAGGAAGACATTGGCCGCCCAGTTAGTCCAAATGGAAAGACTGCCTACGGCATGACGTAACTTAAATTTCACCGTAAGTTGGAAATCACATACTGTAAATAAGTACCTATGTCACTCCCCTATGCTAACACAGTTGTAACATCGCAAACTAGGGCAGACCCGGGCAAACTACGGACTGTGGCCCAGCTACAGCCCACTGGGCTTCGTAATCCAGCCCGCTGATCACTAGTACAGACATGATAAAGATTGATGTCGATCATTTTTTTTTCATGCATCAGAAGAGTCTGACTTACGCTTGGGAGCCATATTGAAGGACAAAAAACCCAACACAAACGCATGAAATTGAACGTAGCACAATCCGATGGCGTACGACCATCCAATGTAAACAAAGCCTTCTGCGTATAGCGCCGCATGATGACGTATTCATCCACACTGCTCGCTTAGGTTCACACGAATGCTCCGTCTATCTGTGTGTGAAATTAGTTTTAACACCGTAGGAAATACGGGATGACATAAAGAGACTTACTTGATGTAGGAAATACGGGATGACATAAAGAGAAAATTTCTTGAAAATTTATGGGAGATCGCGTCGTAACCAGAAAACGCCGTAGGTTGAGAACTTCGTAAACTGAGGAGCTCTGAGGATGTTACATTTTATTTGAATGTATGTTGTAGGACAATCAGACATGGCTGAGTTAAAGCCTGACTTCAGTGTCTTTTGTCTGCAGCACCGCGTCCACACCATCCTGACTGCAGACCTGGTCATCGTGATGAAGAGAGGGAACATTCTGGAATATGACAAACCAGAGACTCTGCTGGAGCAGGAGGATGGAATGTTTGCCTCCTTTGTCAGAGCCGACATGTAGACACACACACACACACACACACACATATCCTTCCTTTTATTTAATTTTCAAACATTATGCTTGCTTCAGTGTGTTTGGACTCAAACGCTGCCTTTTTCAGACGTGCAGCTGTTGAAGGTCATCCTGCAGCCTTTAACGGAACAAAAGTGGAAAACAAAAAAACTGTTGAAAGGAAATAAAGGTTTTTCTCTTTGATAAGGATGGTTTAAGGATCGTTTCTACTCAATATCACCCTTTTTATACCTTCCTATCTGAGTGTCTCTACTTTTACTACTTTTACATGCAGTATGCCTGGACTGAACATATATTTTATATTTTTTGTCTTGGGTTTAAAGTTATCAACGTTTTCAGCTTCGATCAAACATCAGTGCGATTTGTCAAAGTTGGGATTGCTCTTTCAGAATGTGGCCTGTGTGTTTGAACCTTTTTTTGTGTGTGTATTTTGTGTTTCTTTGCTTTTTATGAAAACGTAGCCCAAACCTATTGTTAATGATGAAACCACATCGACGAAGGGCTCGGCTTCAATCTCATTTTCTGCTCACCAACTAGTTGCGAAATTTGTTTTAACGGCATGCGTCGCAATGATGGAACAAGACTTTCTTAATAAATTCATGGGAGATGGAGACATGTCTCAGGATGTTGTTTGTTTTCTCTTTTTCTACTAGCCCGTATGTGAGAAAACCAAGACTTTAGCACTTGTGTTCAAAATTTTAAATACTTGATTAGTACATTGGAACACAAACCTTTTACCCTACTTGGAAATTTGGACAACTTTAAAATCACAAAAACTATGATTTTTCCGTGTGTATGTCTGTTTGTGTTGTACAGTTGGTAAAGCTTGGAAGGACATTTTTAAAGATTTAGTTCTCGCTCATAGAGTATTAAACACTCTGCTTGAGTTTGAGTTAAATAAAATTTGTTAGTCTCCACTTTCTCAAAACACTCTGCTTGAGTTTGAGTTAAATCAACTTTTTGGTCTTTTTGGTCGAGCTTCTTTTCCACAAAATTCTAGAGAAGTTGCTTGTTAAATTCAGTTTCACTTCAGAAAGAAATGTCAATTTTTTAGATAATCCCTTGGATCATTTCATCTCTTTGGTGCTATTGTCAGTCTCCTATATTTCATCTTCATGAAATCATTTTCCCAGTCTGAGCCACTTTTTCTCTGAACGTTTTTTTATACTTGTGCCAAATCTCTACAGACTTCTCTGTTTGTTTTCATTTTCTGCATTGTTTTACTTGTAATTATGTCTTAAACTTTTCCATTCTCGTCTCCGTTTCTGACCCCCTCTCCCCCTCTTGAACCACAAAATGCTGTATGTTCATTCAGCTAAGTTAAGGCTGTTTCATGAATCTTTTGTTTGGATTTAAACCTTTGTGTGACAGGTTCATGACATTTGATAATGTTTTTTTTTATTATTGAATGTTATCTTCTTCAATAAAATGAGAACAAAACATGTGTAATCATTTATTATGTTATTTTACCACTTTATGTAAAGGGAGAAACATTGTTAAGTAAAGTGAAGTGTTGATTTTGAGGCAAATCCACTGTTCGATGGCGCCACCTTGGCGGAGCACAGTAAAACTGGTATGATTTAATTAACAGTCGACATGATTTTATATCAGCCATTTTCAAGGAAGTACATTTTAACGGTAGTTAGACTAGTCCGCAGAAGGACAAACCACAGAGCAGCACGTAGAAACTACGGAAAAGTATCATTTAAAATTCTAAAAATGAATCATTGTTATGAATCTGAACCTAACTGAGACCGTGGGTATGTGTTTGTTGGTTTTAAATACGCTGTAATTCAGTCGTAATATCTTTTTGCCGTCGTTCATCATGTCAAATTTAGATGCTAAGCGGAAAGAAATCACCGTTAACTTGTCTAAATTGTTATTTTCCTATACTTTCTGTGAGTTCATGAATGCAACAGTAGACCCGGTCAAATCGACTCAACTCTTTGGCGGGTAATCCACCGGAGAGGGAACCAGCACAGACTGCACTCCAACGGTAGTAAAAAGTTGTTTTTGACGTATTTAAGTGATTTCTGATGAACCCCTTCATGGCAGCAGTAGTGTGAGATGTTGGTGGTTCGAGTCCCCTTTGGAAAAGAGATTCAATGTCATGGTTTAGAAGACCGAGAGGCGGTGCTTCATCCTCAGTGGTTCTGTGCGTAAAGACGCACGGAATCAACATTTCTTGACTCCGCCATGCCTGGTAATTTTCTGACGCTCTCTGTGTATCCTTGAAGGTAGCAGAAGACCGGGTCCAACTGGGTCGGACCGGTCGTTGAGTCTGAAAAACCAATTTAGTCAATACACCGTTTCTGGCGTTTCCAGCGGAGAAGAAGTGTTGAAGTGACTTCGCCAAAATTGGTTTTGTGCGTCTTTACGCACAAAACCATCTATTTTGTCTGGGCTCCACAGAAGCAGAAAAAGGAAGAAGATGTTGGCGAGGAAAAGCATCATCCCCGAGGAGTTCGCTCTGCCGGGCCTCGCCTCACGGATGCCCCGCAAGCCCGTGTTTCGGGACCGCGTAAACAAGGCGCGCTTCATCGCCAAGAACGGTTCGTGTAACCTGGCGCACAAGAATATTCGGGAACAGGGCCGGTTTCTTCAGGACGTGTTTACCACGCTGGTGGACCTGAGGTGGCGCTTCACCATCGTCATCTTCACCACCACCTTCGTCAGCTCCTGGCTCTTCTTCGCCATGAACTGGTGGCTCGTGGCCTTCGCTCACGGAGATTTGGACCAGCGGCAACGGAACGAGACGCACTGCGTCACCAACGTCAAGTAAGAGAAACGGCAGAGGAGAAAGTTGTGGAGATAGAACTAGGAGATAAGAGTGAATCTTCTATCATCTATCCGCCATTTTTCTACCAAACTGTCCACTTGTTGTCATGTGAACTTATTTCAAAAATATCAGCTTTATCAGCCTTGTTTACAGTTGAGAAGCTTGTATTACATCTGGTTTGTTTTGATCATAGAAATGACAAAGGTTGCATGTTTTTTTAATGTGAGGGGGTCAGCAGACCCTAATCTAAGTAAATCTAAGTTGCCCATTATTTGATCTGCACCCCACATGTTTAGTCTCAGTGAGCGCAACGACAAAGTGAAGCCTTTAAAAAACTGCAAATAAAAATAAATTAACATAATAAAAAATTCTGCAAATAAAAATAAATTAACATAGTAAAACAAATATAGTCAATAAGTTTGATAATCAAAGCACTCCGCTACACTTGAACGCCACAGGCCCTCACCCTCCCTCACCCTCTAACTCCCCCACCAGGTCCTTCACCTCAGCTTTCCTGTTCTCCATCGAGGTCCAGGTCACCATAGGCTTCGGAGGGAGAATGATCACTGAACACTGTCTTACAGCCATCACTGTCCTGATCCTGCAGAACATCGTGGGGCTCATCATCAACGCAATCATGTTGGGTGAGACGCAGTATGCTTCCCCCTAGTGGCATACAGAAAAATACCAGTTTTTGTGTAGGATATTTTTTAAGTTTTTTAATTCATAATTTTAAAGTCCATTGAGACAAATTTGTTTAGTGGATTTGGGCTATACAAATTGACTTGACTTGAATTTACATGCGTCTAGATGACAAGTTAATGGTTAAGGTTGTATCTCCATCTTCATTATCATTAGCAGCGGCTCTGACGTCTGCACTTCCTCTCTGGTCACTTGTAAGGTGGACCTGTGATTGACACATGCTCACAGGTCCCTGGATTTCGTTTACATCATAAAATGTGTTGAAACATATTAGAATTAGGGATGGGTTGATCCGATACTTAGGATAGGTATCGGTTCGATATCGGTCAAAATTTCAGGAACGAACATTGTAAAAAAGAAAGAAACTATAGGCCGTCAGATTTGGAACCTAAGTCCCAAACCAAGTAGGTATTGGACTGATATCAGTATCGGCAGATACTCTAAGCTGCAGTATCGGTATCGGAGTTATATCAAGCTGTGTATTTTTCTACGAGCGTCTGTTTTTCCTTGAAGACTTTTTCTTTCTTCTTCTCTCTTTCCTCCTCCAGGCTGTATCTTTATGAAGACCGCGCAGTCAAACCGCCGTGCAGAGACGCTGATCTTCAGCCGTCACGCTGTCATCGCCGTCAGAAACAACCACCTGTGCTTCATGATTCGCATCGGTGACCTAAGGAAGAGCATGATCATTGGCGCCACCGTCAGGTTACAGGTACTTAGAAACCCTCTGAGACAACTGCCGCGGGAATGCTTTAAGGGATATTACAGGAGGTATCGCAGGGAATGCGCTCTTAAAGATGTGGACAACTTCCTGTTATAATACACACGGGTCCCTGTGGTCGGTTAGGTTAGCCTAGCACAGCTTAAACCTAAAATAAGTTAACGTTTGAACAAGATACGCGAAACTACTTCCTTTTCAGTCCAGTCTGTTCTTGTTTTCGGATTCATCAGATACTCATTCTTGTTATTCTTTTTTTAAGGTAGTAAAAAAGACGACGACACCAGAGGGTGAACTGATTCCCATCCATCAGATCGATGTTCCAACAGAGAGCGCCATCGCAAACAACAGCCTTTTCCTGCTCGCCCCACTCATTATCTGCCATGTCATTGACAAGCACAGGTTGGTACTACAACAACAACTGTTTTTATACTAGACATTTTTTTAAAACATTGAAATACACCCACAAAACTACGTACAATATAATAGTGATGGGAGTAGCAAATACTGTCATAATGTATTAATATGAAATAATACATGAAAAAAAGAGCTTGTGTCACTTCCACATGTTTTAAGGTAACTCACTACAGACCTGTACATGCACATTTGTGCTGCTACACCATTGATGTCATGTGACCACTGACCAGAAGAGGGCAGTGACTCCACGTTATAAAGTTGACTAGACATCCTTGTCCCTTAATGGTACCAATTAAACTATTCAGGTTAAATTTTGCAAAAATAAAGTACAGTGTGAAAGCAATTTAATATTTAATAGTTAATATGTTAAATGAAAAAAATAAACATGATGTGAATTTCCCTATTTGTAGGAGGCATACAGGACGTCTTAATATTAAGGTTGGTAAATGGGCAGTATTTGTCAAATGCATTATTGGGTCAAAAGTATCAGTATTGAAGTATTTAGCTGTCTCTATTCTAGTAGATTTCAGCCTGTTCTTATGTATATTTTTGCTACATTTTAATTATCGCCCACAGTCCTCTCTACGACCTGTCGGCCATGGAGCTGCAGTGCAGTGACCTTGAAATCATTGTCATCCTGGAGGGCGTAGTGGAGACAACTGGCATCACAACCCAGGCCCGCACTTCCTACATCTCTGAGGAGATCCAGTGGGGTCACCGGTTTGTTCCCATAGTGACAGAGGAGGAGGGGGTCTACTCGGTGGACTACTCCAAGTTTGGAAACACGATGAAGGTACGAGTGACAACAAGCTGTGACCGACTTACACACAAGATTCATAAAGTTATTCAATGATCTGCGATCTTCAATGCTGGTCTGTGGTCAGTTGGTGCCAACGAGACAAAATCCAAACAGAATTATTTTAACATAGTGATTGAGGCAGCAGTGGTTCAGATAGATCGATAGATTGATTTATTAGCCGGTACTAGGACAACGACAGTAAAAACGATTTGTCGAGTTGTGGACAAGAGTGGCACAAGTGGAGTGGAAAAGTTTAAAGTCTTTTTCCTCCGCAGGTATGCCAACGCTAAGGTTGGTAAATAAACTTCCCCGTTTTTTTCATCTAAGGTATCAACACCATTATGCAGTGCCAGGGAGTTGGACGAGAAGCCATCCATCTTAATCCAGACCCTACAGAAGAGTGAACTGTCCCATCAGAACTCACTGCGGAAAAGAAACTCCATGAGACGCAACAACTCTGTGCGTAAAGGCACCGGTGGCAGCAGCGGCAGCCTTCGCAGGAACAACTCCGGACTCGCCAAAGTCCAGTTTTTCTCCCCTTCTGAGGGTGGAGTGCAGAGCATGAACGCTGTCACCTGACATGAGGCCTGCCCCCTGTTGGCCACACTGCTCCTCCTGGTGGGACGGAGGGTGGCAGGTGTCGTGGTCCTGTCTCCTGCTCTGATTGGACTGGTTCTGTTCATTTTCTCTGCCACTTCCCGACTCTTTAAAAGGCACTTTGATGGCTGACGTTTGTCTGAGACGTTTGTAACGATTCATTTGCTAACACATGCAGTCAGTACGGTGGACACTGTGATTGTTTTACTATTTTAAACAATCTAGTTTTTCTCACAGTCTGGTCCAAGACATCACAAATATTGACAAAATGTTAATTTAACCATTTGGCCCCTACCAAGAAGTCTATAGTATAGTAATAGTAATAGTGTAACTTATTATTTTCCCTTTGACAATAATTCTAAAATAAGCAATAATTCAGGCATGATGTTTTTCTTGAAGATGTTGGTTAAAAATATCTTTTCAAAATAAAAGACAGCAGCGTAGGTTTATTTCTTGGACGACCTCACCGGATTCCTTTATATTATGTCTATATGTGCAGGGGTTTGGAAGACACTGATTAAATCACACATTTTCCTCAAAGAATCTAAATGTGTAAAGCACTTAACTTTATTAAAACATTGACTTGAATAATTAAAAAATAAAGGCAAATCATCAGTCTTCATGTTTCTATCTTTGCTGCCTACTCTCTTTGGTTTTGGGATTTTGTTCTTTTAATTAGAAAATGTCTTTAAAATTGAATAATAGGAAAAGAGAAATACTTGATGATGAGTGATTTTAATATACAATTATACCTCAAGCCTCTAAATTCTGACAGTAATTTAAATAATTTCCTTCGTTTTTATTGATCATTGACAAAAGACAATATTTTTTTGTAGAAAAATATTTTCTAAATATACTGTAGTATTTAAACAGTCTGACAGTAATTTAAATAATTTCCTTCATTTTTATTGATCATTGACAAAAGACACTGAATAGACTTTTTTGAAGAAATAATTTCTAAATATACTGTAGTATTTAAATGGAAGGGTGTATCATTAATAGTGTGCAAAGAAAAATGTATTACAAAGAAACTAGATGTTAGCTTAAAACTTTGATTGAAAAATTATATTTTTATTTCATATTTCTTGGTTAATCAAAGCCATCTTTGATTATATTATACAAATGTATTTAACAACGTTTTAAAAATCTAACCTAATAAGGTTTTTGACGTCAAATCTATTCTGCATATAAGATATTTCTGGGCTAACTTTAATCTATTAGAATAAAGTTTTCAATAAACGGAACCAAAAACATGCTAAAAAATAACTAGGCTTTGTCAAGAAAAAACCAAACAAACAGACAACAACAAAAACACAGTTTTAGAACTATGTTAAGCATCGTTTACTTAAGTCACTTTTACCACGGTCCCTAATTTTTGTACCACGTACGGCGGAGTTAAGGCGGAAGTGACGAAAAGTAGAAGTGACGGAGAAAACGCGGTCGTGTTGAGGATTGTCAGGAGTTGTAAACATGGCTCGCTGTTTACTCAGAAGATCAACTGCTATTCTTCAGCTAAGATACAGACCCACGACTCTGAGAAACAGGTTCTACTCTGACACCGAACCCGAACCACTGACGCTGCGGACTCAGAGTTCAGGAATCAGGTGCTGCAGAGAAATGGCTCCGACTGCCCTCAAACACTGCAGTCGAAAAGACATGGAATTAATATGAAAATTATGATTCAGTGACAGTTGCATGTCAGTTGAGTACAGTTTGACTTTAACGCGTTTACTGCATGAACGTAAGTTCATAATAACAATAGTTATCAATAATATTAATTTGTACCAATATAATAACATAACTGACTCAGCTACATTTAAATAATGAACAATTTCTCTCTAAATTCACGTGGTTCAATATTTAAGCGACACATTTTACTTGACAAGTAATTAAATAAATTGTAGGTAAACCTTAAATTCATTTTTTATTCAATATTTAAGTTGTTTTTCATTAACCGCCTGTCGTTCTTGCAGTACTTTTTTTTTTATTAAATTCAAACTTTTGTTAATTTTTATGTGTTTTAAGTCTATTATAGTAGTATCTTTACATACATATAAATATACATTTTTGGATATACAGTAAGTACTTAAATAGTTCCATAGTTTCTTTCCTCATATCTTGTTTGTTTTCTCCAGGAGAATAATTCTGAATAATCCCAAGAAGAGGAATGCTCTGTCTCTGTCAATGCTAGAGTCTCTTAGAGAAAACATCCTCACTGACATACACAGTGACGACCTCAGAGTTATCATCATCTCAGGTTGGTGGTTTGCAAACCTGTGGTTGTACTGTACATATACATGTGTGTGTACGGTGTATGTTTCTATGTTAACTAATGTTTGTGTGGTTTTTCAGCCAAAGGTCCAGTTTTTTCTTCTGGACATGACCTGAAGGAGCTGACCTCAGCTCAGGGAAGAGAATATCACACAAAGGTGTTCCAAACCTGTGCTCAGGTACAAACCTACTGTTTTCTGCCTGATTTTGTTTTTGTGTCCAGTCGACCGACTGAATTTGTCTGTGACTCTTGTTTCTCAGGTCATGACACTGATCCAGGACATCCCTGTCCCTGTGGTTGCCATGGTGAATGGCGTCGCAACAGCGGCCGGCTGCCAGCTGGTGGCCAGCTGTGACATTGTTCTTGCAACGGAAAAGTCTACGTTTGCTACACCAGGTGTTAACGTGGGTTTATTTTGTTCCACGCCTGCTGTGGCCATCGGCAGAGCTGTGCCAAGAAAGGTCAGAAGAAGAGCTAAGACGGGCTAACGTTGTTGGAAAAGGTTCTTGTTATGATTTTGGTATGCTAGCTAATCTAGCTGTGGATTCTTTGCTGTTCTAGCTACATTATGTCTAAACGTAGCTCTAACTATTGTCATCTATGTTAAATCAACATTGCATATTTACAAGTTTATATTTATTAATTTTTTATGCATTTTCTGGGCTAAGCTTATTTTATTAGGAAGTCCTTGGTTTACAAAAGTTTCGACCTACAGCGTTTCAGGGTTGCATCACTATCTCCCATAAATCTATTAAGAAAGTCTTGTTTCATCATTCCAACATATGAAATAGAAACAAATTTTGCATGGGAACTATTTGGAACAGAAGTCCAACGGAAGTCGAGGACCCGCTGAAATTTAAATACAATTTTTCTTATTTTTAGCTAATTTCTACAAATCTTGTACCTTTCAGCAACACTTTTGCTACGTTTATAGTTATTGGCTAATGAATGCCATATTTGTAGCTTTGCTGTATTTTAAGCTTAATTTCTTTCAACTATCTTTTTGAAGGTTCTCCTATGTTTTCTAGGTTGCCATGGAGATGTTATTTACAGGAACTCCTATCTCGGCCCATGATGCTTTGCTGCATGGCCTGGTCAGTAAGGTGGTGCCGGAGGAAGAACTTGAGGAGAAGACGTTAGCTATGGCCAGGCGAATATGCCAGACGAGTCGACCAGTCATCGCTCTGGGTAAATCCACTTTCCAAAGGTCAGTGTTTGGCATCGTTACAGTCGCTCCTTCTCATGACGTTATGTTTCAAAACGTGTTTACGGTTTACGTTTGAATGCGTCTGTACTTTTGTTTTTCTTTCCCACCAAGGCAAATGTCTCAAAGCCGAGACGCTGCATATGTCACTGCCTCCTCGGTGATGGTGGAAAACTTGGCTCTGAGCGACGGACAGGAGGGAATCAAAGCCTTCATTGAAAAACGAAAACCCGTGTGGGGGCATAAAAGTGAAAAAGCTCATGATTGACACCACTCAGGGTAGTTGAACCGTCTACACCAGAGGTCCCCAACCCCTGGTTCGGGGACCGGTGCTGGTCCATAGGTCATTTAGTACCGGGGCACAGTGGGACACAGTTAAGAAAATGTACTTCAGTTTTACTAATTTACTTAATTTTAAAAAATCCATAAAGGGATATAATCATATCCCTTTATGGATTGAAAATTTTTTACTAATTTACTTAATTTAAAAAAAATCCTTAAAATCTTAAAATGATCCTTTAAAAATGGCGCAGTATTACCGGTCCGCCTTAACGGTTGATCCCGGTCAACCGGTCCTTGACGTTGAGGACCGCTGGTCTACACTAACGGTGATAAAGCTTTAAGTTGCATAATCAGTATCTTTAAGAAAAATGTTTTTACATTGACCTCAGTAACACAAACTGACCACAGGAGGCAGCAGACCCTCCATTAATTAATTTGTGTTATCAGTCTTAGTCAGTGATTATACCATGATTGTCAAAAATGTATTAGTATTGAGGACAACTCTCTCGTTACACAGTATTTATGTTGCATTAAGGACAATAAGCTGAATTCATCCAAGTCCAAGTGTTGTCATCAGTATTGGTAGTCAGTACCAGTACCATCAGTATTGATAGTATGTCAAGACAGTCAGTTAAGTTAAAGCAGGAAATACATTGTAATAGTGTTATATACATCTGCACCAAAGACGACATATCAGAATTTAAAATTAAATTTGTTGTTTTTTTGGAATGAGAAAGCTGTTCTTCTCTTCCTATTGTTGAATATTTTCTTTGAAGTATTTGTTTTAACGATGGTAATAAAAATATATGATCAATAAAAATTGGTGATGAAAATATTTTTGTGATATTTTCCCACAGTAACTCTCTCTACTTGATTTACAAAAACGTCTAAATTTGTGGTAAAACTTTTTCGCCCAAAATGTCCTTTACAAGAACTCACTATAATTATTATTCAAACGTGATTCTTATCCGTTATTTACCGCGATTTACAGACTATAAGCCGGAACATTTTTTAACGCTTTGAGTCCTGCGACGTAAACAATGATGCGGCCAATTTAGGTATTTTAACGGGCTAACGAGCGTCATGCAGTCGCCAACACATTTAGCCTCTTCACATCAGACCAATGAAATTACCGAACAATTCACAGTGGACCAACGAAATGATTTTGAAAACTGGGCGCATGCGTAGAGGAACTGTTATTTAACTAAGTTAAAAAATCTTTCTGTTTAAAACTGTCAAGTTACAACCGGAAGCCGGTAAGACGACAACGCCAACAAGCGGCTACAGCAACAAACACCGGTAGGTAAACAGTCAACATCCTTTTAGCATATTTCAGCATCTTACCGGCTGCCTCTTCAGATTCGTGGTGGTTGCTTTGGACCTCCAACGTCGTTTCCTTGGCAATATTATAAAGAAATCCTCCTACGTGTTAAACTCCATGCGCACAATAGCGTGTCTTTGTTTACATCCGGTTCTCTTCCCCACTGTCTCCTGGGTGCGTTGCTTTTATTCTCCGGGTTAGCTCGGCCGTATTTATTTATTTATATCGTCACTTTGCCTCTTTGCTAATAAGTACTTAAAAGCAGTAGATAAATAAATTACATTTTAAAACTCCATGCATAGTATTAATTAAAAAAATGATTAAAAATTATATTTAACTTAACTTTAAGTTAATAAATCATTGTACCAAATATTCGTTCATAATAATAATTAAAATCATTAAAATCAGCTTTGTGCATTGCTAACGTGTTTTTCGATTCATTTTAAACATTTCTTTTACACGTATTGAAAATATCGCTATTTTCATATTTAAGCACAACTAGTAGCATTTGAACTTAATAAAAATGAAATATGGCGCAAGAAAAAGCTTTAACATCATTAGTGGTGATGTTTTTTAATTGCACCTATAATGAAAGTTTGGCCGTTTTCTTAGGATATTTATGTTAATCACAATTCAAAACAAACGACAGAAAATCAGATCCAAGACTCATTTTGCACCCAATTCATTTTATTGAGAAAAAAAATGTGTGCGAGTGTTTTGTATATTTGTTATTGAACAAAAACAAAAATAACTCGGGGAATGTTACGCCCAATACTGCAAAATAAACTACTATTAGGATTATAATGAATCATAATAATAATAACAATAGTAATAATGATAATAATAATAGTTTTGCTATGAAATGGGAATGTGAGCAAATGAACAAGTATGTTTGTGCCTGGTGATTGTTCATGTGTCAGTGAAGTGTCAGCAGCTGTAACGTTAAATGGAACAGTGTTAAAATAATCAGACATCAACTACAGTAAATTCTGCGCCTTCTGAAACGGATTTACCTTCGTCTCCTTAACATGCTTAGCTACAGTACAGCAACAATAAACAACAACAAGCAACAGTGTTACATATATGTATATATCTATATCTATGTTTATATACATATATACATAGATATAGATATACCTTTATATATATACATATATTTGTGTACAATATATACATTCATATATGTATATATAAATATTTACTTATATATATATTAGGGATGTCTGATAATATCCGTCAGCCTGATATTAGCATAATTATGTAATATGAGTAAGAATCGTTATTGGTTTTTGCTCCAATAATGAAAACCTGATAACCCAAGGCCTGTGTTTTGCCAAATAGGCTGGAATCATTTGCAGGGGCCCAGAGGCGTTTACTACAGTTCTGGGGGCTGCATGTATTGGTTGAGGTCGGAAATTAAGTGTTTGGACAATATCGGCAAAAAAGATAATATCAGACATTCGTGTGTGTATATATATATATATATATATATATTAGCCACTAAAATCAAATAATATGAACACTAGTTTTTAGAGTTTAACCTCTAATTAGAAAATGATATAAAATGACTCCTTAAGATTATATGTACGCATTGACATTTTCTCCTTCGGCTGTTACAGAAATGTATTGCACGTCAGATAAACAGTTTTGTTTTGCTGTTTTTCTAACGGAGTCATTAAATGAGAAACCTAATCTGTGAACATGACATGAACAAGTTCTAAAAATATGAGAATGTTTGGCTTACTATTCTACTGACAGTACCTTGTTCAACCATGTGTTCAAATGTCAAATTTCCCTTTAATTCACAAGAATAAGAAGAAGAAGAAAAAAAAAACCTCTTCCGTGTACATGGATGTTGCATTGAAAAAAAAAAAAACCTCTTCCATGTACATGGATGTTGCATTGAAAAAAAAACCCTGCAGTGACTTAGATTTTAAATTACATAATGTGGTCCAATTATCTTTCTGAGTAAAAACATTCACACGAAAATAGAGTAAACCCATCTCTACTGTAAATATATGTAACATTTAAAAATAAAGACTTAACATAAATGCAGGTCAGGAGAATATTTTCTTTCTTTCATAAAAACTCAATATATGCACTGGAAATCTTCTGTACATTTCAGACTCTTAATGATTTACATCCAAAAAATAAAATAAATTCTCAGTCAATTTATCTACTGATTTTTTTTTTCCATCTATTATAAATCAATCAGTAAAAACGTCCTGGGCAGTTGCGTCCAATCTGTACATATAAAGAACAAAAACCAGGTCGTAATGAAGCTAACGCTTGTCAGAGAGTTAGCCCAGTGTTGGTGACTTTAAAGTTAACAGTTTATTTTCCAAACTGATCCAAACGGGTCACAGCAGCATCGAGTCCTGCATAGTGAATGCCTCCGGCGCGTGCCTGTAGTGTGGCTCTCTAAACACCTGGGGGAGCTGTTGGCGTACAATGGCCTGTCGCTCCTGTAACTGCATTCTGTACGAGAGCAGAGCATTGGCGTCTGCCGGGAATGTGAACTGCTCTAGTGGAGACATTTGTGCCTGCTGGAAGCTAGGCGAACGCGGCATTTCGCTTGGCGACATCGGCTGAAGGGTTGGACGTCTGTCCTCCGATGTCCATATAACATTGTCGACAACTTGCTGTGATTGGCTGTAGTGCTGGTGCTTGGGGATGACTTCTGGCGGTCCGTCAAACCTGCCGTCCATGGCAGCGTAGGCCTGTGGATGCCGTGCTATCTGGGGTTGTGCCGCCTGTCTGCGGTAAGTAGCGAAGGAGTTGTTCATGAGAGGCTTTTCCGGGGAATATCTACCTGAACGGTGCTGCGTGGTGGCGTAGCCAATCCTGGGAGGGGGGACATAGAGTCTGTCGTGGTCCACATTCATGCCATAGACCGCATGAAAGATGGGAACCTCAGTCTTGCCTCTGTTGGGTGATGGTTGCCTGGGAGGACTTTGGAACTGGTTCACACCGCCCCCTGCTGGGCTGCTGTGAAAATACTGAGGAGGAACCGGGTATCTGGGACCATGAGTTGGACTACTTTGTTGAAGAGACGACATACTGTGGGGCGTCCCACTACGTGGGGTCCTCATTCTGGACGGCGGTCTTTCCAGGTCCAGAATCTCAAAGTTCTGCTCTAGAAGACCTGGTACATTGTCATACTGTGAGGCGTTGGAACCTCGGTTGGATCCAGGAACGAAGCCCCTGGAGCGCGGCCGTTTGTGTGAAAGCCCTGCGTCGTCTGGACTGGAAGGAACCGGTGATGCTGTTCTGCTCCGCTGAACGTCTCGGGCGGCTGCGGCCTTCGCTGCTTCCAGCTTCGTCTCTGAGGGTTTGTACCAGCGGGGGGCGATGTCTCTCTGGGCGCTCAAGACGGCGTTAGAGTTGTGGTTGGCGGTTGCGTTACTTGGAGGTTTTGCTCTGTCGTTCATTACTGACACAGACGTTCCCTGTCGTTCAGGTGGCGACGCCTTCTGCCGCATGTGGGAAATTTCTCCAGATTCCCTGGACCGAGCGTCCCTTTCATCAGTCACAGGCTGACCCAACGGTTTGTCCAGCGAGTCGCTGCGGGGCCGACTCGGCGGTCTACTCTCATCACATCCTTCTGGCATCGAACGCAGCTCTTCGGGAGGATCCGCAGGCTCAGTGTGGCTCTGACCGTTGGCCACGTGGTTGGCTGACACTCCTGCTGCTGCGGTGGTCAGCTGTGGAGGAAGTTGGCCCAGAGGCTTTTTAGGGAACTCGTCCTCGTTACCTGCAAATGTCAGGAGAAAAAAAGAAGAAAAAAAAAGTCATCAGAAAACGATGGATAAACACGACAGTTGGACAAACACACGTTTCCCAGTCATGACACGGACATGGAGTCATGCAACAACACTGCCACGGACAGGTGAAGACCAAGACCACACGCAAAAACATCTGTGCAAGACAAGGGCGAAGGAGAAGAAGATCAGAAACGTTGACTACGAAACTAATTCATTTTTTTGAACCTGTATCTTTCATCATGAGGCCGCGTTTTTCGGTTCCTGTCGCTTCTACAGAAACAACTCGTTTTTTTTCTAGTTCCTCTTCTTGTAGCCACGTTTTCGGTTCCTGTTGCTTCTACAAAAACAACTCAGAAAAAAGACAAAGTCGACAGGAGAGGCAGTGAAGGTGACATTGATGAACACCAGGTGGTGCCAGCTCCGCGGATAGCACGGAAAAACAAATAATCAAAACAGCGTTAGCCTAAATTTCCCTTTCTCCAAAAACTTTAAAGTGAACCTGTAGTTTGGTTTGATCTGTGTGGGCACGATGTTTTTGTTTACACGTTTACGTACGATGGAAGTGTAAGGCTACATTACGAATTTAAAAAAAAATAAAAAATTTTACCAGAATAAAGTCGAAGCGATATAAGGAAAAAAGTCATACATTTACAAGAAAACAGTTTTAATTTTATGAGACAAAAGTCATAATGCTACGAGAAAAAAATTGTTAGTTCCTGAAAATAAAGTCATAGTTTTACGAGATGAAAGTCGAATGTTCAGATGGTGTGTTTTGAAGGAGACACGGGAGAATCTTGTGCAGTTATACTTTAGTACTGGGTTCTCAAATAAGAGGATACGTCATCTTCTAGTTGATCGGCCGCACATCGTAATAAGCATCAGGACAATGGAACTAGTGTTCTAGAAAGTACCAAATATAGAACCACACGGACCTGGGTGAAGGGTTAGTTATTCTCCACGATAAACAGCATTTATTAGACATTTGACGATAAGAGGTTTAATCGAGGTTTTCCTCCTGAAACCTGCGATGACGATACTAATATTACGACTTTTTTTCTCTTAAATGTATGAATTTTTCCCCAAAACGTTCTGACTTTAATTTTTAATTTCATAACGACGAATTTTGTTATTACGACTTTTTTTCTCTTAAATGTACAACTTTTTCCTCAAAACGTTCCAACTTTAATATCATAACGTTTCGACGAATTTCGTAATTTTTTTTTTCCCCTCACACCGTCGTACATCAGAGAGTACAGAGTACTGCCAGATACTTGTCAATGTCAGGAATATACCTGAGAAAAGTAGGCAAAAAAAAAAGACAGACAGAATCCAAAGGAGAACAGATTGAAGTGCTGCAGAAAAAAAATAAATCAGAATGACATTAACAGACAAGTCGACCCTGTGTGCTGCTCAAAAGACAGACAGATAGATGAACATAGACAGAACCAGGATCGGGATCAGAATAGTCACCGGTCAGAGTCGTAGCAGTTTGGAATGTGGCCTCCACTCACCACCAAACCTTTGTTGTTGTTGTTGGCTTTAAAAAAGTTCAGCAGAAGAGAAGAAGAAGAAGAAGAAGCAGAGAGAGGAGGAAAAAAAAACACACAGACTGGACCTTTAGATCAGCAGCAACCAGAGAAACAAAGAGACACGTGCGTTTATTGACTGTTAGGGATGGCTCGATATGATACTGAGGATCGGTATTGATCCGGTACTATATATCTATAGCTTGTCTGATCCGATACCTCATACCAAATGCTTTGTCGACGTGCCATAAACAGGGACAGTGTCGCCTTGGCAACAGCAGCCCACGAGACGCTGGAGGAGAAAAGAAGGTATCGGATTGATAATGGTGTCGGCAGATAAAGTATAGGTGTCGGACATGAAAAAAGTTGTATCGAGCCATCCCTAAATACTATAGTTGAAGATGCTGAGAGCTTCACTGCGAGAGACCATATTGGACAGGATTATGAAGGAGGTCTAGATGGTTTGGACATGTGCCGAGGAACGATGGTGGACATGTTGGAGAAGAAGCTTCCAGGCAGAAGGAAACGGAGGAAGACTTTTACTGTTGAAGATTAACAGATGAAGTGATGGAGATGGAGACCATGGACATAGTTAAGACTGACTTAAGTTTCACTTGGGATTTAGAACAGGGGTGTCAAACATACGGGCCGCGGGCCAAACCCAGCCCGTTAAAGGGTTCAGTCTGGCCAACTTGATGAAAGAAAATGCAGAAACACTTCATGTTCATGATGTGTTTTGTAAAATGTTTCATGAAATATAAAGATTTTTTTTAAAGTACTTTTTTAAACGTGTTTTGTAAAATGTTTCATGAAATATGAAGATTTTTTTTAAAGTACTTGTACGTTTTTGCGAGAAAACAAAGGGGAAAAACATTTATTGTCACTTATAGGTGCCTGAACCAAAATCAGTTTGACACCCCAGGACTCCGAGATCTTCTCTACATCTCATCTTCATGCTAACAGTGCTTGTTCACAGCAGTGGTACCTGGAGCGGGCATGTCCAGCTTGGCTTTCCTCAGTTCCGTCATCGACACCTGCAGCTGCTCAATCACCACGTCGTCCTCCAGGTAGAAGTTTTTGGACAAAGAGACTTGAAGAAACTCCACCAGCTCCTCCATGGACAACTTCATCAGATGTTCTGTTACGCACGCGAACAAAAGAGGTTGAAGATAAACAGCAGGGGGCGTGCTACTGAAGAACACGTGTGTAGCACTGTTTCATCTTTTACTTTTGTGCAGTTTGAGGACGGTGTAGGACATGGCAGGAAGGACACGTTCTCCTTCCAGGATGTAAATGTCCCAAATTCTGAGAGTCAGCGTGAACGGCGTCTGAGAGCAAAAAAGAAAAGAAAAAGAAGTTGGTGTTTGTTTCTGTGTTCCTTCAACAACCTCAAAGCTCAAAGAACGTTTGTTTGGGCCTCGATCACAGCAAAAACAACATGTATGTCAACAAAAGCTCCAACGCTAACAAATGGCTCCAAACGTAGCCAAACAAACTGAAGGTCAGCCGTGGAAGTAGGAGCCTGTTTGTGTCTGTTCACCTACTCTGTCCAGGAAACACTGAAAGAACCACTTCATGGTGTAAAGATTGGTGTAAACTTCCTGGTTGTCCTGAAACACAAACAGCCGAAACACACAGTCAGTCGCTGCTTTACAGCATCTCACAGTTGGACTGATCTTTACAAACAGGAAACTGAGCTCACTGTCCCACAGCAAAACCCCAAGAGGGAAATCAGGGATTTAGAGCTCACAGGTTCAAATGTGTTGTGTGTGACTGTGGATTTTGGTGTGAGACGGTGAGTAATGTTTTTTTTTTGTTTTTTTCACCAAGTGTTGTTTCAGTTTGGGCATCATCTTCTTCATGATACGATCGTGATGATCCTGGAAACGGATCAACTTCGGGAAACCGGGAACAAAAAATCCTGGAACAATAAAGACATTTTTTTTTCCTTCACTTAAACTTCACAAAAAATAGTTGTCGTTTGTTGCAGTACACAAATTAGGAAAAAACAAAGAACATGGTGGAACTTAACTTTACAACTTTTTATTTTTTTTATTATTTATGCATTTAAAAATATATACGTTAAAAATAATTTAGAAACAATTTAATAATAATGACTAATGTTACTACTTCTAATAGTGGTATCATAAATTACTACAACACATGATATTTGAGTATCTGAACAGCTTTAATTAATTTGTTTTTACTAAGACTTCTGCAAAATATTAGTTTTTTTCTTTCATTTTTCAAAAGAGAACAGTAAATATTTACTTATGTGTGTGTGTGTGTGTGTGTTTATTACCATGCATGGCGTGTTTGTGTCCAGAAAGCAGTTTGACCAGAGCCCAGAAAGCGTCTTCTTCGTTCATGTAGATGAGCAGTAAGCAGCAAAGCAAGGATCTATCTCACACCCTCCCAGTAACCCACCCCCTACACACACACACACACACACACACACACACAGAACAGTGATGTTTTCATGTTCATTACTGGGACTTGATGATAATTTGCTATAATAACTATTGAACATGTCCATTTGTGTGATGAACTTACTGTGTTGTAGATGGAGTAGGCAGTGAGGACATGAAAAAGAGCCTGCTGCCTGAGAAACAAACAAATACAAAACAATCAACATAAAAATAAAACCAAAAACAGGTCAGCATCTTAGAAAAAAACCCCAAAGATTTTTAGGCAGTATTGGTGTTTCATACTTGACGTCGTAGCGGTGCATGAACATGATGTGATCCCTGTAGGTTCTGTTGACGTCCAGGTCGATCTGTCTGATGTCAGGAGAGAGACCCCGCGCTCGTGCTTTTAGCTTCTGTGGAAGGGGAAACATAAAAAAGTCGCATCGTTGTGAAGGAAAAGTCATTTGGATCAAATCAACGACTAAACAACACACACACTGCCGTTTTTCTACTTTCTTTGGCAGAAAAATGGTTCCCTTGAACACAGTATAACTTTGGCAGACAGGGGGCAGTGTGGAGCACCGACCTCATAGAAGTCTTTCTTCTCTTCTTTGATTTTGGGAATATCAAGCAGCAGGCACCAGGCCTCTCCCCGCAGCTGCAGAGGAATTCCTTTATAGACTCTTCTCACCAACTTTAGGAAGAAAAAAAAAAACAGAAACCTCGAGTTAACCCTTCGAGCTCTGACACAAACAGGGAGAAAATTCTACGTCTTTTGGAAGTTTAGGAACCTATAATTCTACGTCTTTTGGAAGTTTAGGAAACTATAAAAAAAAAAAACAGAAAAAGAATTTTTCTGAACATTTTAAAAACAGAACACTGAATGCTCATTGTCAATTACTTATTATATACATTGTTTAAATCTAAAAGTTATAAAAATAGTTATAAAAGGACAAATGGTTATACAATTATTGTTATAATTATTATTTTCCCCCAACGACCTCCACTGTGTTAGCATAGGAGAACGACGTCGGGTGGGTTCCGAGTTACGGCAAAAATTGAGATACTATGTCCAACTATAGGAATGAACAACAACAAAAACAAACAAAGTTGTCCCGACCTTCTCACTGTTCTTATATTTGTCCCAACTTTTCAACATCTTCAACCATTTGCTGCTTCTTTCAATCTCGATGTGCTTTTGCTGTAAAAAAAAACAAAAAAAAACACGTCAAACCTTCATGGAACCTAAAATAAAAAAATATGATAAAATATATATTTTAAAATATTTGTGATCATTATATATTTTGTTTATTTAAATTGTGACAAAATATAAAATTAAATAAATACAATTCTTTTCAATTATTATATTAATATATTATATTCATTATTATTAAAATTAAATAAATTTAATTAAATAATACTCATGAACTACTTCTAATCCTACTACTATGACATAAAGGCACACATTAGAATCCCTTCCTGGTGCCTTTATATTTGTGATGAATAAAAAGAAAATTTTAGAAAAGAATAATAAATGAATAATCTATGAATGAAACTTGAAAGAGTTCTGACCTTTTGCTCCACCGAGTCATAGGATGGAAGTTCATCTCGACTGTGAAACAGAAAAGAGGAGATCGTTTTTATTAGTTTTATGTGTTTGTAACTTTGGCCAGGATAAAACATATAAGCAACAGCAATTCTCCATCTTCTCCTCTTACTTTTGATCAGAGTAACCAAACACTACAAAGATGGAATATAATATAAATATAAATTAATAACATAATTCAACGGCGGGATTAAAAGGTCAAATGGACCACAACTGGCCCCCGGGCCGTAGGTTGCCCCTGCCTGGTGTATAGGAAACTGGTTCGGTCTAAATGTCCTAATGTTTTGTTTTAGAATGTTCTGGTATTTAGTCTTTGAATTCCTGGTTGTGGATCTTAAATTTCCTGACCACTGGTTTTAAGTATTGGACATGAATGTCTCAGATCTTTTGTCTTTGAAGGCCTGGTTTTTGGACTGTCCACATGTGTGTTTCCTGTCTAATGGTCAGTTTGATGTATGTTGTTGCTTCAGTAGCAGCTGCAACCGTTGTGTTTCTGTGTGTTTCCTTACTGGACGAAGCCAAAGCGGTCGATGACCTTGTACAGGTGGTAGTCAGTGTCTTCCCAGGGCTCCACTGTGGCTTCTTTACCCTGAGGACAAAAAGAAATGTGTTGAATTACACAGAATATTAGGACATAGCCCAATTAGCTGAACAGTAGGAATTAAAATCTGCCTCCTGGTGGTGAGTTTGTGTCACTGAGATAAACTGAACTGAACTGCATCAATTACATTGCGAAATTAATCTCAAACATTTTCAACACATTCCTAAGATTCCACTTTACTTATCATTGCTTTTAGACTGTTGTTACAATCATTGTTATTTACACACCCTGTGGGGAAAAGCCTCACCAAACACAGGGCAGTTAATCAGTCTACGGTTGACAAACTGACGTACAGTCACCAAATGGATTATAAGGCACCGTAGACTGATTAATATTCTTAAAGACAATGACTTTAACTCTGTGAAGACGTACAGTGGACTCAGTTCCAGCAACTCTACGCAGCTATATTTTAAATTATAGCTTTTTGATTATAGTCGAGGTAACGCCATCTTTTTGGGAGGTAGTCTTTATCATACCTTGTCATATTTAGCAACAATCTCGGCTCGTTCCTGGTCAAGTTTCACCTCTGCGCTCTGCTCAGAATTAGACGCTGCGGGGGGGAAAACACAAAACAGAGAGCAGGTTTGTTAAAAACTAAAATACTACAAGACTTGGAGCTTTGTACTGCCTGTTGTTTTAATCCAGAAGCAGTATTATATGCTGCTACCTATTCTGTATTTAAGAAAACACAACCATGCAGTATATATTGGCAGGAGAGAGCGAACGGTGGTCAGTGGTTGGCAAGGGTTTTTGTGTTTTGACAGCAGTTTGGAGATATTTTAACATCAGAGACAAAGACATATCATAACGTCTTATCTCCCAGTGCAAAAGTGCAAATAAAACCAAAACCAACAAACCAAAAAAACCCCTGCAGCACTTTCAAAACAATTTGGGAGGAAGACAACACCCAGGCACGAGCTTGTAAGCCTAGTCATAATGACAGTCCTGATCCTTCACAGGTTCAGTCATAGTCTTTGTTTTACATCAGGGG